CTACGGTTTACCGGGCAGTTCTGTTTGTGACGATATATTGTGACGATATATATATATATATATATATATATATATATATATATATATATATATATATTCGTCTTGAATGTTGATTGATTGCTTGATCTATATGCCTTCTGAGCAATCAGGTAGACCTTGTGGTTTGTACAGACAAGCGCAATAACTTAGGGTGAAGGGCAGTGCTGAAGACCTGAAGCAAGCGTGCCACACGCATGCTGAGGTAAACCTGGGGTATGGCTGTTTGCTAGGATTGCTTATTGCCTTGCTTGGATAGCCATTGGCTATTAGCGCCTTGATTTCAGTCATGATAGATAATCTGTATCAATCATAATAGAATATACAAAATTAGATATTCATATTGAGATATGATATTCTTAATTGACTAGCGTAGTGTTAATTGTAAGTAGTCGATTCATGATTGAATATACAAGATGGGATATTCATATTAAGATATGATATTGTTAATTGACTGGCTTAGTGTTAATTGTAAGTAGTCGATTGACATCTACAGTGCAGTCTACAGCTCTCGAGCTGGCTAACAGTTCACAGGAGGTAGATGGTCAGCATGTAATTCACATGTCTGGGCTTCTGCTCTCTACAATCTCATTTGCTCGACGACCAGGGAGTCTAATCAACCTCCAGTTATTGAATTAGAGAGATGAGCTTTCACTTTTCTGCTTGATTGAGATCCTAACTGTTAGTTGACGAATGCCCAGTGAGTGTTGTAATGGGTTTGGAATCTAGTCATTGTTGCATGTGATTGGAAGTTGCACCTCTCAAGTGTTCCCATGTGCGTTGTATGATGCATCACCATCTTTGAGTTCAAAGAAACCCGAAGATGAGCAGCTGAAGCGTGCCATGGTGCAGTGAATGTGCATTCTCATTGGTCTCCGCTATGATAAAAATCATCTCCTTTTCTGTAGCCCTAGCTGTTGTGTCCTTATTCTGCTCCACCTCCACCTACTTATCCGCCTTGTACTCCTATTTGCTGTCTTCGTTTTCATTTTTCTCCTCCTCATTCTTATTGTCCTTATTACCGCTGTCATTGTTTTCCTCCTTGTCCTTGTCCCTGTCCCTGCTCTTCCCCTTGTGCACATGCCTGCCCTTGCCCACATGCTTGCATTTGCCTTTGCCCTGTGTTCATCCTTGTCTTTGCATCCACCATTGCCTTGGTCCTTGTCCTTGTCCTTGTCCTTGTCCTTGTCCTTGTTCTTGTCTCTGTCCCTGTCCCTGTCCATGCCCTGGTCTTTGTCTTCGTCCTCGTTCGGGACCTCTTCGTGGTCTTGGTCCTTGCCCCCGTCCTCATTTGTATTCTCCTACCCATCCTCGTGCCCGTCCTTGTCCGCATCCATGCCCCCGTCCCTGTACTTGTCCTTATCCTCGTCCTTGTTCTCGTCCTGGCCCTGGCCCTCTCCCTTGCTCTCACCCTTGCCGGCGCGTCGTCCTCGTCCTCGTCCTCGTCCTCGTCCTCGTCCTCGCCCTCGCCCCCGCCCCCGCCCCCGCCCTCGCCCTCGCCCTCGCCCTCGCCCTTGCCCTTATCGCCGTCCTTGTCCTAGCCCTTGCCCTCATCGTCGTCCTCGCCCTAGTCCCTCTTCTCTGTCCCCCTCGTTGCTCATGCCTCCTTATCCCCATCCTCAGTCATGTTCTTGGCCTTGTCTGTGCTTTTGTCCTTGTCCTAGCCCTTCTCCTCATACTGGTCCTGGTCTTTGTCCTAGTCCTTGTTGTTGTCCTTGTCCTGCACCCATCACTGGTTTCTGGTACTGCACTCTTATGAACTCTTCTCTGCGTTTCTTTGGTGTGTGGGAATCCATTGCTGCTTCAGAGTGTTGGTCTCTATTGTTGCGTGCATTAGGTGCAGGCATATGTTGACCGCACAGTGTCATGAATTTGTTTTGCCATTGTTCTTGTAAGCATTCGGTGCCCTCCGACATTTGCCCATCTTCTGATAGGTAGATCAGATTGGATGGTAAGGGTGGAAACTCGTTCAGCACATGCATCCTGACATGTCCATCTGGGGGGATCACGCTACCTGGTTGGTGATCATGAGTATAGGCTACCTAATTCATCGGCTGCATTGTGTGGCCAGGTCAAACGAGCATGACAACATCAAACGGTGAGGTAACATGTTCGAGGTGAGATCTGACATCAGCAGATCTGGCATCAGGAGACCATTTGGAAGTCGGGATCAAGAAGTGGGGTTGTCGGAGAGGTCCAAGCCAGCTGCTATGGAATGATAGTTTGTGGATTGGGATAGATAGGGATGGGGTACTCGAAGAGGTGTGATTGAGAATGAGGCAGTGGCATGAGTTCTGAGAGGAGGGAGTGGGAGCAGGAGACACACATAGTTATTGGAGGGGTCAGACGAGAACGACCCAATGCGAGTTCGGCCTGAGTCTGTTGAGGTCGAGCTAGAGATGACGATAGAGCCGGGGGAGGAAGAGGCTGTCATAATTGGGGGATTTCAGGCGACCCCACAAGAGGAGGAGGAGGAGGAGGAGGAGAGCATTGTCAGGTTGCGGCTAGGATGGAAAGATCACCAGAAGTCGGTCACGGGGATGAATATGCCAGGAGTACCATGTGGTGCACTTGTTGCCTGCAGTGAGTCCCATCAGCAGGAGAGTTTGGGAAAGCGGGTTCAGGCAAACCCATTGGTGAATGCAGCAACTCCATCTGAATTGCGTATTACCGCCCTTGTCCTTGGAGTTGGAGGGGAGGCTGTGCGGTGTGAAGACGATGATGATAGTTGTGCTGCAGGAGAAGGAACAGTGGGCGTTGCCTTAAAGAAGGCAATGAGCTCGGGGTTGGGGTCACCACGGATGAAGGAAAGGGGGGGAATGTTGAGGTTAGAGGAGGAGATGCTGACAACTGGTGAGAAGTCTCACAAAGCACTCAGGCCGAAGTCGTGTTCCATGAAGCTGGAGTTGGAGCCTGACTCCCGAAACAAGTCTTGTGCTAATCCCAACTCCAATTCACAAGTTGAAATGGGTATAGACCCCTATAGAGCCTTGCATGCCCTCTCTGATGATGACCTTCTTGAAGGGTTTGGGGTGGGTAGTTGCGACCCCCCCCACCCCACCCCCACCCCCTGGACATTGACTGCTTGCTTTGTCTAATTGATTATCTGATGTCATGAGTTTACCCAAGATAAGTGTGCACCGCCATTCGGTCCACGCCCTCTCTGATCTTGACCTTCTTGCAGGGTTTGGCATGGGTAGTTGCAACCCCCCTCACCCTCCTCCTCCCCCACCCCCCTGGACATAGGCTGCTTGTTTCGTCTAATTGATTATCTGATGTCATGAGTCTACACAAGATAAGTGTGCCCCGCCATTGCCCTCTCTGATCATGAACTTCTTGCAGGGTCTTCTTGCAGGCGTGGGTAGTTGCAAACTCCCTCGACAACTCCCCCCCCCCCCCCCCCCCCCCCCCCCCCCCCCCCACCTCAACCCAACCCACGGACATTTGACTACTTGTTTTGTCTAACTGATTATCTGATGTCATGAGTCGGGCCCAGATAAGTGTGTGCCGCTATCGGGTCCTTGCGCTCTTCGGCATGCGATTGCTGCGCTCGATCATCACAATGGAAGCCTGGGAACATAGGTCCCAAAGAAAGGAATAGAGTTTCAGTTAGTTCCACTTAGTACCAGTTCATGAGTGCGCGCATTAACGAGGATGAGGGTGTACAATTAGCGGAAAACGTTGTTTTTCATAGATTGGTCTCTGTGTGGCTGCTCTGACATTGCAATTTTTTGATTAGCTTCCATTGGCAGATGTTTGCTTCGACCTGAGGATAGATGCAAGGAAAAGGCAAATTGGGCTTGGAGCAAATTTGACTGAAGTCAGATATATTTCACGAATTATTTATTTGATGACCGTTGTCGAGTACTACTGTCCTGGTACAGAAGTCATAGGTTCAAATCCTGTCACCTTGAGTGGGAAGTAGCATTTCAAGGAGTACGACCTTTTCTCACGAGCACTATGATGTCAATTCTTCCTAGCGTGCCTATGTAGTGGACGGACCATCTGTGTGCCGTTGGGCAACTACTTCCAGTAGAATAGAACTACAGGGAGAGGAGAACAATGGTTGTTGATTAAACCACCAAAACCCCATAAGAGTGGGAAGTCATGGGAATAATAAGTACCCTTGAGAATTTCTACCCTACACAAGAACTACTTAAACCGCCAGTACACGGCCCCAGCCTCGCAGGAAAGAAAACTCCTCGCCTACTCCGAGGATTTCAGGGCCAGGCCGCTGTTGATGAATGTCATCAACGGCCTTCAAAACGTTTCTGGTCTCTGGAAGTCAGAGTGAGGGACCCATGACCGATGCATAGTGGTGTACTGGCGGTTTAACTGAAGTACTTATCGTGATAGTTTAAGCATACGTAAGATTGACAGATGCTCGTCGTCATAGTGCGAAACTGCTACAGGATTGTGAAGACAATGATGGTTTTCTAATCTAGCATCATCTAAGCACTATAGAGCTTATGCAAGTCTGAACAAGGACGATATAGCTGTTATGCTATTGTTGAACCGACACAGAGTGATGTTCTAGACCAGGACTATGTGGCTATAATGGCATTCTAAATCAGGAGAATGTGTAGTTTAGGGTGGGTTCTAATGCTAAGAGGCACAGGGAAACCGCCAGGGTTGGTAGCGGTTCACTACCGTCTTCACCCGAATAGAATGCCCGGTCATTACAGCTGTATTTGGCACAACTTTCAGCCCAGATACGGCGATAATTACCGGGCATTCTATTCGCGTGAAGACGGTAGTTAGTAGTTGCTCAATCAGTCCTCTTCCCCTTTGTTTGTTTTCCCAACGAGGTTAGCACCTAACGTTATTGTGTCTATCTGAAGCAATCAGGAGTCAGACTTGTGATTTGTTAAATTTTGTTTTTCAATGGTTGCATGTGTGTGTTGTACTGTATACCATTAAACCACCGCTGCGGCGGATCGTATTCTGTCAAGCCTAAAATTATCCCCTCGCAAATGTTTCAAACTGTTGGCCGCCAGGCGTGTACATCGAAAGCACGAGCTACTTGTTAATGGCTGCAAACATGCAAGTAGGGGGCCTGGCGGGGGGGGAGGGGGGGGGGGGGGGGGGGGGGGGGGGGGGGGGCGGGGGGTCTCTAAACCACATGCACTGGGTGACCAAGACCCTTGATGACATGGACGGGTTCAGAAAAAAGGAGAGAAAACGAGCTGATCAAATCCCGACCGGGATGTGAAGCAGCGATCGAGCTCGATACTAACTGGAAATGAATGTGGCTCTGAACATGGCCAAGAGGAGTATGGATGGACATGCATGGACTTGGTACAATGTGGCTGAATGGTGCAGAGTCTGCAGACATTTAACCGTTGGTGAAAAAGAGCATTTGTTCAAATCCTGTGGAGTCAGACGGATATGCAAGTGTCGTTCAGGACATCCGTTAAAATTGGAATGATACAGAGAAGATTAGTATGGCACCTGCGCAAGGATGACACACGTTAATTGAGAAACAGTACAAATAAGGGGGGGGTGGGGGTGGGGGTGGAGAAGAAGAAGAACAAATGGATTTTTCCCAAGTGTTACAGTCAACGGGAGGTCCTACGACCACGGTTGGTGATGGAACTGCAAACATGTTTATGGATTGAACAAGTTTCAAGCTGAAAAAATGGTCCAATTTTGTTGCATTCTGTGTATCGTAAACATTGGTATGTTTTGCGGTGTTCCATTGACTCCTGGGGGTTGTTTCACTCGCTGGTATGGTTGCAGGAGGTGACACTCTACAGGAGGAACAACAAGCACAAGTGGAGAGCATGATGGCCACTACTGTAAGTTTTGCCGGCTGTCAGAAGAGGGGAGCTATGTCAGATCTCAGAACGACTCTTGCGTTTAGACTCTAGAGTAACCGTGCCTCTTACTGATTGACGGCGTTGCGCCCCTACCTGCCTAAAGTGAAAAATGGTGATTGTATCTTTTCCAATTTTAAAGCACGAGTACGCGGCCATACATCGGCCACGAGCCCCTCAGCGCCTATGTTGCACGTAGGCCACGGCCGAGGCCGCCGGCCTAGGCCAGGGGCCCCCCGGCCGCGGCCGAACGCGGCCGATAATTAAAAAAAAAAAATCGGGTTTCGAGTGGGGAGGGGGTCCCCTACCTCCTCGCAAAAAAAAAAACATAAGAACTTCAAAAACGGGGGGGTGGGTTTCGATGACTAAAAAAAAAAAATTAAATAAATAGAAAAAAGGGGGGTAACTTCTTATTTTTTTTTAACATCTCATTTCCCTGCAAACAACAGATATTCATTTCCAAAAAAAATACACGTAAACTTAGGGACCATATATCTCGATTTTTTTTTTTTTGTTGATTGATTGTTTGATTGATTGATTGATTGATTGACTGGTGGGGGAGGGGTCTCCCCCCCGCGATTGATTGATTGATTGATTTCTTTATTCAATCTTTTCTTTTTTTTTGTTGATTGATTGATTGATTGATTGATTGATTGATTGGTTGGTGGGGGAGGGGTCGCCCTACCCCGGCGACCACGGGCGCACACACACACACACACACACACACACACACATA